TAGTCTCCAGGTAGTCATCCACTGATGGACTTCGTTGATACCGCGCTGGAGACTGTCTCGCAGCCTGTTTAGACACTCATTGAACCGGAGCAGTGCAGTATCGTCAGCAAATAAGGACACACCTTCAACATGACTGGGAAGATCATTTATATACGCTAGGAAAAGGAGGGGCCCTAGGATGGATCCCTGGGGCACTCCGGACAGAACAGGTGAAGCATCTTAGAGAAGTCCACCTACAAAGACAACTTGCGTTCTGTCGGATAGGTAGTCTGTAATCCACTCCAACACTGAGTCACACACACCGAAAACTTTGGAGAGTTTAGCAAGTAATGCACGGTGCCACACAGTGTCGAAAGCTTTCTCGAGGTCGAAAAAGCACATGGCAACTTTCCGCCCCATATGACGATGGTCGGCAATGTTTTGGATCAGCTTGGTGAGCTGTAGAGCGGTCGAGTCACCACGACGAAACCCAGATTGCGTGGGATGCAGAGCAGGAGAAATATGATGGTATAATTGATTGAAGAAGAGCCGTTCGCAAAGTTTGGAAATACAGGACAGGAGGGAAATTGGGCGATAGTTACTAGCTTGAGATTTGCTGCCTTTGCACTTGTAAATAGGCACAATTTTAGCCAGTTTCCAGTCAGTAGGGAACTTGCCTGTGGTAAAGGAGAAGTTAAATAGGCGGCTAAGTGGAAAAGAAATCGCAGGAGCTAGCTTCTTTATCATATTGTTCGTGATACCGTCTAGCCCTGGCGCCTTCCCAGATTTCAGGTCATCGCCAGCAATGGCATGTCATCACGTACATTGAAAATCAACATAATTTTTCGAATCGACCTTTTTTTCAGGATCACTTTTCAACGAGGACGAAGCAAAGTCGGCCGAACGAAGCCTAGAGGAAGAAAATCACCCTCTCCACTTCACCATCACGATACTGACATAGATACGAGATGAAACAACTAAAAAATCCACAAGAAAACTGTACGACCATCATCGCGCTGACTTTGGTCTGACTTTGGTCTGAGAATTTCTATCACGATCAAAAATGTACGAGGAGCACTCAAAAATAAGCAACAGACGTACCTCTATCGCTCTCTACTCCTTTTTCAAGGCACAAAAGTCGACTCTCCACTTTCAAACCAGGAACCAGACATACCAGTGGTCCTTTTCAGCTGCTCCACGAGCGCAGGAAATGTTCACCAAGGGGCGCAGAGCAGCATCCATTCCAGAAAAAGAGCTAAAATACGAGTGAGACTGCATGCCTGAGTACATGAGTACATGTATGAGTACATGCAGAAAATAGTCAATTTCAGCGTTTCTGCTCCAAACAGCAACTAGCTTCGACTAGAAACAAAGATTACACCAAAGGATCAAACAACAACCATTTTCTGCAGTTTTTTTGCAGATGGCTTCCTTGTGCTTGGCCCAGCACGCCAAAAATCACACCTCGGAGGAGTACAAAAATTACAACTCTCAGATGTCCTCGATTGCTGGCCATGTTGAGATGGCTTTACGAACATCTGCTGTAGTGATATGAACGCGGGTGAATTGGCGAGTAAGACGAGTGTCATATTGGAGAGGGGGTATTACTAAACGTGGGTCATCAGGCACTGCAACAGAGGTAAACTGCTTGTTGAGGATGGTTGCTTTTTGGAAGCTGTCAGACACCAGCAGCCCATCAGGGCTTGCAATGTCAGGGATGCCAGGTTTTACTTTGTGCGATCGCTGACTGCGGACAAACTGGTGAAGCGTAGTGCTGCCTGACGTAAGTGTTGTTTTGATTGAACGAATGTACTGGCGGTGGCACCAGCGGGAGAGATGTCTCACCTGGTTCCGCTGTGCCTTATAATGCTGATAGGTTGTAGTCCGTAGGGAATTTCTTGGAGAGGCTGAATAGGTCACGCTTCAACTTGATAGCCTTGCGTAGTTCAGTGGAAACCCATGGATGATATTTGCGCGTAGACCCTGGGGTCGAGGGAGTTCTATTTGGTTTGCGGGAGCTATGAAGGGGAACATACTTGGACAGCACAGTCTGCAGGACACTGTGCAGGTTACTAAGTGCACTGTCCACGTCTGAGGATATTAATGAGTTCCAAGGTACTGAGTCTAAGTCTGCATTGACCGCCTCCCACACAGCAGGTGTGACGTGTCGAAGATCGAAAGACATAGGGTTAGGCTCCTGAGCTTGAGACGTTGTTTCGCGGGGAGACTGAGGCAGGGGGATGTCGAACTGGCAGTACACAATGGCATGGTCTGAGGCGCCCAGAGGGCAGTCAGTTTCGACGCAAGACGAGAGATTGGCACGGTTACTAAACACCAAATCCAAGCAGGCTTGGACACCAGAGGGTGACGTGTATGTACATGTGTTGACGAGTTGGTGAAGACCAAATGGACTGAGCGTGCGATACAATTCAGCACCGGCAGTATTGGTGGAATCTGTCGAACACCATGACGTGTGCTTGCTGTTAAAATCACCTGTCAAGATAACGTGAGAAGATGAAAGAGGAAGAGTAATGAGTACGTCTTCGAGAGTCTGGCAGTACCTTGCTATATCTGTTGGCTTAGCAGAAGGTGGACGATAACTGCAGCAGAGGAGGATCGGCTCAGCTGCAGCCGGATACGGCTGCAGTTGAACCCAAACGGCTTCGCACCCATCGCGAGCTAGATCGGGACGCATGGCAACAGACTTTAACTTATTCTGTCGAACAAGGATAGCGACACCACCATAATCTCTTGCACTTGTCCCGGACTTATTCTCTGCAGGGGGCCTGTCCCTCCGGAAGGTGTCATAACGCGTAATATTAAGTGCAATATTCGGGTCGAGCCAGGTTTCAGTTAGGCAGATTATGTCAGGCTGCCACTCTTCAGCAACAATAGTAAGCTCTGTACACTTATTCACTACAGAACGACAGTTTGTTGATAGGAGTGTGAGCTGGGGTGGTGTAGAATGCTGGTAAGTGGGAAGGGAGTGTCTGGTAGGAAAGAATGGGTGTGCGTGTGGGTTCAGTGAGTATAGTTATGATGAAGAAAGGAAAAGGACAAAATGTTACGTTATGTTATGTCCTTGTCAGTTTTGTGCCATTTTGTCGCACTTGCTGGCTGTATAAGATCTAGTTATGTTGATGGACAGTTTGTCATGACTCGTAACATTTTGTCCTTTTCCTTTCTTCATCATAATTAAACAGATAGTAGAGAGTTTGTGCATAACGAAAATTCGTAACTTAGACGTAGTCTGGGCACGAGTAACGAAAAAGGAAAGGAACTTTCGCGAGGATGATCGCGAAACTTGAAGATCTTACGTTTTGAACTTTCGCTTCTTTCTCGCAAGCTTCTGTATACATGTACATGTAGCTGTGTTGATGCACGTGGTGTCAAGAGTTTTTCGCCATGGCCTTTTCAAGTCGTTCTGCGAGTTCTTCCTACTCGGCATCCTGTGGAGCTGATGGATCTCTTTCCCGCTCTCTCAGCGATCCTCTGTCACCTGGACAGCGCTCGGCTAGTTCTGTCAGATCTGGAAGACCTGTCAGTGCTCGCCCTGTGACAAATTATTCTGCTGAATCCCCGCAGCAGAATTCTGCCACTTCGGCGTCTTCGTCTTCCCCTGCGACGTCTCAGCGAAGGACATTTGATCTCGCGATGGACCTGGCCCTTCTCAGGCAGCTTCGTTCTCACGACCAACCGTTTCGACAAGGGTCTCCAGCCATGGAGATCGTTGCCTGTGAGCTGGAAAACTTGAGCCCAACTCAGTTATGTGGCATGGTGTGCCTACACGTGGGCCGGAGTACACAAAAAATTGTTCACCCCGCGCGCAAACAGCGGAAAAAGTACTCGAAAGGGTCACCATGGTCACACTACGTTTTTCGTTGAGCACAACAGATTTTCTTTACGAATTTTCGTCACTTCCAGATGGCTAAGATTCCGAAAGATCTTTACGAATTTTCGTTATGCACAACCTCTCTAGTAGGAGTGAAAGGAGAGTGTCAAATGAAGGGTGCAATAGGGTAGCAGTGGAGATTGGCTACTCAGGATTGGCGACAATTAAAAAACATCGCGGCAAAGGACATGGTTTCCAACTTCTGGCGTCTGATGAAACCAGAGATCATTTGTGCAGTCATGTCTGCAGCCTAACCGTCGGTAAGCTTGTGAGTAGGATCCCGTTCTGCTCGATGTGGTAGATCACAAAATAATTTTGATGTCGCACAAATTGAGCTCTGCATCGTGCGTACCGTATTTTATATTCAGAAAATCGCAGTGTCTCTGTGTGGTCGCCCTATGCCACGAGAAACTCCAATCAGGCTCTTATGTCCTCTGCCTTATGGATTGAATGTCCACTTCGTTTGAACAACGAACACAACAATCGAGGACGGCTTTGCAATGAAAATACAGCTATACTCGAGCTGAAAAAAAAGAAGAAAAACGTGCTCAGGATGAGACTCAAGTGCACGTGTACTCTCCCAGCAGGTTCTGTGAATGTCGCTCATAGATGCGTAATTTCGCGTGACGACCTCTGCTTGTTATTCACACGGAGCACCTCTGCTCGTTTGGCCACTGCGAATTACCGTAAAATGTATTCAACAACAACAACAACAACAACAACAACAACAACAACAGCAACAGCAGCAGCAGCAGCAACAGCAGCAACAACAACTTCTTGGCCACAGGCCATCGTGAGAATAAAAGATTTCAAACAACATAAAGTATGGGGTGAACGCGCTCTTCCTCACGTCCTTGCCCTGTGCGTTACAGCCTTCTAGATCTACTTGTCCGGCTCATCGCAATTGTCGCTTATCTATCGCCACTAAGAACAGGAATTTTTTTACCGCTCTGTGAAATTTCCAACAGGCATAGTGAGGAAGCATGATACATGAATACTCTCCGCCACAAGAAACAATTTCAACAATGGAATCAGGTGAAGCGAGTGGAAATGGAGAAATGGAGAAATGGACTGGAGGTAAGCAAAATGCACGAAATAAATCAGCGAAGAAGCGCGTTCTTGCACTCACACTAGTAATACAGGTCCAGAGTTCATTCAACTCTGCATCTCTCGAGCCGCGCCGTTACATGAGCTGACATTTGCTGGTGTCCAGCTGCTGGCGTAGATTGGTAACGTTATACGTTAGAGTATCTGTTGCGTTCTCAGCCTATCGAGTATCGAGTATCGTATGGCAGCAATGGGAAAGAAACAGTTGGGGCTGTCACTCACTTCGGTCCTTGAAGGAACCGTGGGCAGTGTGACCTGTGTGTCACCACAGTGTGTTTCAACAAAGCCTTCGAATGAGGCATACAGGCGTCTCCAGACAGCTGTCATACGCTCCGCTGGATACGCTGGCCACAGCTCTTGCAATGCGGCTGCTAGGTCCACCAAGAGAAGGAACAACCAACACGTCGGCCGGGCGCATCGCATCAAAAACACTTTTCTTCTTCAGCATGACGCTCATACTCCTCTGCAATGCACGCGTGCCTGTCACGCTCTCCAGGCCAGGATGTCAGTTGCTCCTGCTACAGTTCCGGTCTTCGGGTCGCTGCGCTTGGCTTTTACTTTAGCAACACAGGCAGTGAAGGGCCAGATTCCCACTACCCAAAAAAGTCGAATACATCGCGATCCAAAGCGCTAGCCGCGATCATTTTTTCTTTGGTGCCTCCTTTGATCTTGCCATCACGATCTCCCAAGCAAAAGTAAGTTAGATATCGTGATTGGACTGGGTTTTACCTGTCAAAAAGTGAGTGAGGGATAAGCGACACCCGGACCAAGTAGCAGCTTGTCAGCCTCCACGTTCCCGTTCCATGTACCTCCCGTTCCATGTACCTTCCGTTCCACATATTCATAATGATTATCCCATGTACATACACTGCACGGCTGTGTTACTCTACAACTTACAAGTGACAGGCAGCAGCCTCAGGACTCAACAGCTATTTGGCCAGAAGAACCGTTGGTTAGTGGTTAGTGCTGGTAAAGCCACAGAGGCACAGCCAGAATAGATAGGGTTGGCTCCCAGGCACAGCTGTCTGGCTATGACGCACACTCCACGCCGCATGCAGAATACAGGACACTCTTTCTATGGCACCATTGTGCTTGTGTGTGCTTGTGTGTGCTCTGTGTGTGCTTGTGTGTGCTTGTCACAACACATTTCAACAATAGCACACACAGATCTGGTCTCAGTTGCAATTTATTTATTTTATTATTATTTTATTTATGTCTGCACCTCGTGGCATGTCAAGACAGCCAACTGAATTGAGGAGAGGGTGAGACCAACCACGGAAGAAGAGAAAAAGAAAATGAAGAGCACGTACACAAAGTGGGAAGGGATTAGCACCTTGACCATAGTGATTACAGGTCACCTCATAACAACAGAGTAACCAGAGGCAGAGAGCAATCCAACACGCCGGACTTGCAAATAATGAATTTATTGGTTTTCGGTGTTTACCAAAAGCCAAAAGTCGGTGGACAACCCTTACCAGGTACCGGTGTCTTGGCGGAATCCAGCAGGCACGGCTGGGCACGGTTGAAAGCGGGTTACGGCGATTGGACACCCAGCAGAGCTGAAGCAGAGCTCTTGATGAAGCGAACTCGAATACAAGTCGCTCGCCTCCTGACTAGAAACGATGAATGCAGAAGCAGAGCTATTGCACGCCGAACAAAGTTCGGTATGACTACGAGTCATACAGACTCAGTTCATGCACCTCGACCGTATTTCAGGCGGTCGACGTGCGCCCGGCGATACTTTATTCCCCAACTCAACTTACTTTCCGCTGCAAAGAACGCTGGCACCACAACGTAGGCCGCCCGGGCCCGGCAGTGCAGTGGCACGTCACACGTCTTTACGGCTCCAGCACTGACAGCAGCGGATGTCAACGAACCACGCACAGTCTACAGTTGGTGGTACTGGGCCCGGAGCCGATCGAAGTACATCTTAATCAGGTTGCACATAACTAGAATGTAGAATAGGCCTAGGTGGATACAGACTAGGTATTGGAGAGATCCGCTGCCTTCATGCCATCAGCATGCCATTACAAGGAACTAACTTGCCAAGAGCTGCAATACGCGTATACGTGCTAAACCGATTTATTTCGAGCTAAACAGAATGACGCCTGTCAGTTACATGACTTTCACACTTGCCACGTGATCGTTGCCACGGTTTGACCCAATAAGAGCGCTCACAGGCTGGGCATGAACCTCTGATCATGCCCTGCCAGCCACGTCTACTACCATGCACCGCGCTGTACACCCCATCACGTGATCATTCATGCCCTCCTACCATGTGTGAATGAGTATATTCACACATGGCATGTGTGAATGAGTATATTCACACATGGTAGGAGGGCATGAGCGAATGAATTCACACATGGGTATATTCACACATGGGTATATTCGACATACATGCCGTGGCATTCAGGCCCTTGACCAATCAGCCCGTCCCGAGAGCGTGTGGAGGTGAAACTGAGCACGGGGGGGATGAAGGTATAAAAGGAAGACACCTCTAGGGGTAGTGGTCGGGGACGTGGAGGACTCAACCTCAAAAGATGAAACCTCAGAACGAAACAGCGCTGCGAAACTAACCTCAGAACGAAACAGCGCTGCGAAACCTCAGAACGAAACAGCGCTGGAACTTCAGGACCTGAAACGAGAGCGCACGGAGCTGGAACTTCAGGACCTGAAACTTTGTGAGCTGAAACTTCAGAAGGGAACTTCAGCAGTGCGCTCGACGGCTTGCCCGACAGCGCACGGAGGTGGAACTTCAGGTTGCTTGTGAGTTTCTGCCATTGTTGTGCAACGAGTGCCATAGTAATAAAAGGACTTGAGAACTTACTTGTGCAAGCAGGCACTCGGTGTTTCTAGTTGATGTATTTCAGGTTCGATTTATGTAGATTAGTGCAGTGCAGTGGCTTTTTTGCGCTGCTAGCATCCTGCGGGTTCGCTGTAGGTGCACTTGCACGTTCTGCTGAGGAGAGCGTTCTGGCTTTGGCTTCTGCTGTCGTGCGTGGGTGCCAGTCTGAATCACAATCACACATGGATGTCAGGGCAGGTATCGTTGATTGAGGCCGTGGACCGGCCAAGAACTCTTCATTGCGCAAGGGAAACAAGACAGTAGGGCATAGAGGAACAAAGAGAAAAGCGTTCTTACTTCAGACTTGGGAAGAGAGGAATATTTACAAGTGTGACAAACCAACGAAGCTATTTATTTATTGAGAAGTTACATGTTACGTTGCTTGCAGCAGAGAAGTTCGCCCCTGCAAAATTGACCGGACAGTACCGGTCCAATGAACCCGCACTCTTCATTGCGCAAGGGAAACAAGACAGTAGGGCATAGAGGAACAAAGAGAAAAGCGTTCTTACTTCCGACTTGGGAAGAGAGGAATATTTACAAGTGTGACAAACCAACGAAGCTATTTATTTATTGAGAAGTTACATGTTACGTTGCTTGCAGCAGAGAAGTTCGCCCCTGCAAAATTGACCGAACAGTACCGGTCCAATGAACCCGCACTCTTCATTCCGCAACGGAAACAAGACAGTAGGGCATAGAGGAACAAAGGGAAAAGCGTTCTTACTTCAGACTTGGGAAGAGAGGAATATTTACAAGTGTGACTGTACATTTCCTGGTGCAAACCAACGAAGCTATTTGTTTATTGAGAAGTTAAATGTGACGTTGCTTGCACCAGAGAAGTTCGCCCCTGCAAAATTGACTGGAAGTGATGGAGCACGCGGTGGAGCTGACTGCTGTGGTTTCTCCAGGGCAGATAGGCCCTCATCATCCAGGCTTGCCAGGAGATCATCGATGTCGTCAACTGGCGCAGGATGTAAAGTTAGCGGAGGCAAGGTAGGTGCATCTACAACTGGTTGCTTCAAGCTCGGAACGCATGGAAGGGTGCATAACTCATCTAAGCTGCTTCGAGCAGGCATGGGCAGCTGCACAGTAGGGGGAGTCTGTATTGCCGGAACACTTCCTGCTGATACACTTGTACTTGCAGTAGGCTGTGTTTGTGTGCTTGACCTTGGAGTAGTAGAACATATACTTGAAACACCAGTACTGGCAGTAGCGAGCTGGGTTGACATGGCCACTCTGTCACTCACATTTAGCCTCTGGTAGCTGGAGAGACTGGCAGCGTTGCGATGGCCAGTGACGCTCATTATGTCTCTGTCAGAGACACCACTGGCATGCAATGCTGTCACCGTTGTGGACCGCAGACAGTGGTTGGTGTACTGCGTCTCGCAGCCAGCTTGCATGGAGATAGCCTTCATCATCGATGACATCTGGTTCTTGCCCATTGGAAGTGGTTCAAACCAGGTGGGCTCAAAGTGGCTGTGTCTGGTCTTGGGCCGCTGGAAGAGGCGATCACAGTTCGGATTTAACTTGCGCAAGTAAAAGCGCAGACACTGTACACCATCCGGCTTGCATATAATTCCAGCATTAGTGGTAATCTTACTCGTGGCACCTCCCTGGTTGTTCTTAGTAGCGAACTCAGCAGCTAGTTGGCAATAGCTCGATCCATCAACGACAATGAACTCAAGGTCTTGCTTGCGCAGTTTGGATTGAAGTTCGCGACCTCGCAGGCCAAAGTGGTAAGTGGTAAGGAACCAAACCTTTCTTGCCAGGGTGCTGGGATCGTTTGCATTCTGAAAGAGTACTTGAATCTTCTCCATGTCAGCTTGCGTTATTGATTCTTTATGGTCTGTGGCTTTGATTGCTCCAGCCCGTCTCAACTTCTTCAACATCCCATCAAATGCATCGTTGCACCTTTTGAATACTGGGTCCGAAATGATGTTGAAGCCACGTCGCTCGAGAAGAGTTCGATTCATAGCCGCTCGGAAGCCTACATAACTGGCCTGTTGGTAGGTTTCACCTTTTGGTTTCTTTTTCCGAAGACTTACATAGCATTTGGACAGGACAGTAGCTAGTTCTTCCTTTGACACTGTTTGAAGATCACACTCAATGCCATTTTCTGCCAAATAATCCTGAAACACTGCAACCCACTGCTTGGTTGTGACCTTGGTTCCCTGTGGCACCCTTTCTTCGATAACTTTGTCCACATCTTCATCCTCTACAGAGGCAAACCGTCGCTTTGCTATAGGCTCTTTGTCCACATCTTCATCCTCTACAGAGGCAAATCGTCGCTTCGCTATAGGCTCTGCCATTGTTGTGTCTAGTTGATGTATTTGAGCTTCGATATATTTGTGTTTCGATTTATTTGCATTTATTTGCTTTGCACGTGCACGTTCTGCTGAGGAGAGCGTTGTGTGGCTTTCGCTTGTGCTGTCCTGCGGATTTATTTGCATTTATTTGCTTTGCACATGCACGTTCTGCTGAGGAGAGCGTTGTGGCTTTCGCTTGTGCTGTCCTGCGTGGGTGGCAGTGTGAAACACAATCAGACATGGATGTCAGGGCAGGTATCGTTGATTCCGGCCCTCGAGCGGCCCGCGGCCTTCGGCCTTGGGCCGCTCTCGGGCCTGAATCAACGATACTGCCCTGACATCCATGTTTGATTCTATACGTCATGTACATGTGTCATGCATGTAATAATTGTTCCATCGATCTGCAGTTGAGCAAAAGTCTAAATTTAGGTCAGAAAGGTCGACGCATCTGTCAA